TTTGACAGTGGTTTTCCTGTTAGTTTTGATTTTTGTTTCTGCAGGTTTTGTGTTTTGGTGATCGGCAGAAAGAGTTGTTTTAATATGGCTTCTTATTATTTATATATTTAACTACTCTTGCTTTATAGTTGCTAATATATTTAAGCAGACTTTGCATTTGTGCACTTTCTACATGAACCAAATCTTCTTCTAGATTTTTCTGCATGTGTGTATTTGTTTGTTTATCTTTGTTTGTTGTTTTATGCTTTATCTATTACTAAATTTGTACATATCTGTGTTTGTTTATTTCTGCTTTTAGTTACATGTTTTTGCTTATTGTTTTCAAGATCAATAACAATCCCAGAAAATTTTACAATTTTTAAAAATTTTCTTGTTTTTTGCAAAGTTTTTGTTCTAATGCCTTTTACTTCTTTTTGGCTATTGTACCTTTATACTATTTCTATATATTTTATCTTTCTGCTTCTTTTTTTTTATAACACTTCTATGTAATTTCTATGTTTTTTAATTTGAAGCAGCAATCTTGTCTGCATGTTGTTTATTAAGTAATATATAATTATATATAATATACATAGTACATCAACGAAAGTACAACTAGTCATATGTATAACTTTAGTCATTATCTAATTAAGGGTTCTGCCTACAGGTTACTTACTAGATGCCATATCTGAGACCTGCCTGTAAGTTTCCTATTTAAACTTTCTGATTTTCAATACTATTATATATATATTTGCAATACTTACATTACCATTGTAGTGATATTTAAATTAGGGTTATCTTAGTTTCTATTTATATCAAAGTACCACCTCATTGAATGTTACTAAGTATCCATATTCCTTCGAATTTACTCTTAATGCAAGCTTACTAAACTAGTACCAAGATTACCACTTAGATCTGACTTAGTATGATCCATATCTACTAAATCAGTTTTAATGCTAGAGGTGTTCAAATTTCAGTAAGTTTATTTCTTTCTCATAGTTTTCTTTTTATATTCACTGTATTACCTGCTAGTGTGCCTTCTCTCCATTTTGGTATGTTCACTGCTTCTCTCGCATCGAGCACCAACTTTTTATATTAGGAAACTTCTTTCTGGAACTTCCTTATATACCAATCTTCTATTCATATAGACTTAAGCTATAGGGCTTTGCATATATTCATATGCTTCCATAGATTACAGAGTTTTGCCTCTAGCTAGAATTGAACCATTGACCTTGTCTGTAGAAGGAGAGGAGCCTAGACCACTAGGCTATGAAACCCTATACCATGTAATTTCTATGTTGTTTTTTGTATTGTTATCAATTTTGTATTTTTTCCAAATTTGTAAAAAGGGATTAGCAGAAAGAGTAATATAGTTTTTAATATTAATATATAATTTTAATTACATTTATTATTTTTAGTAATTTGTAAATTACTTTAATATAAATTAATTTATATTGAAAATAATTAATTATTTTTAAAATATTTATTTAATTATATGCATATCTTATTTTATTTTTTTTTTACTATGATCAGTTTCATAAATAAATTAGTTATTTTATGGTAATCTCTGTATTTTATGATACGTCACATCTATAATTTATGAATAACGGCAATTTTATAATACATCACATCTATATTTTATAAATAACAGCATTTTTTAAAATTGTTATAAGTGTACAAAGAATTATATTAAGACGAATATAAAAAATAGCAAAGAAAAGGCTGTATAAATTGCTTTATTATAATTAGTTTTTTCAATTTACATAAATTACATTATAATTCAATATTGATTAATTGTAATATGATTGTTATTCAAATAATAATTATTAATGATCATAGTACCCTCATTATTAGATGCATTTTGCAAACCGGATTGTGATGACCACAACAGCCTTTTTTCACTAAGAGTTTGGGTTTTTTTTGGTCGCATTGACGTGAAAAGGCAAATTCAGCTTTGTACTGTTTTTTAAAGGGCTACGAAATTTAGAATATACTGTGCTTTTTTGTTGCATATGAGAATCCAGATAGTTATTGGGCCTCTAAAATAAAATAAATTTATAAATTTAAACGTAATTTAAAGCAAATAAATAAAATTAAAAATTTTACCGAATCTTGATTTTTATTTAAAGAATTATCAACATTATTATCTTCATTATTTTGAGATTCCGGAAGATCAACAATATCAATTAATGTAGACAATGCATCCTTTTTCTGCTGCTCACTTGGTCGTGAATATATACAATATGATGATTCGCTTTTATGGCCAGTTATTGACATTGAGGTAACAATCAGAATACCCTCATGAAATAAATGTGTAATTGGTATAGTTCTTCCTGAGTGATTAACAATATCATGATCCTTAATATTTATTTCAACTTCGGTACAAATGCTTTTCATAAAGTTGCTGCATGAATTCTGACCCAATTTAGCATCAAAATACCATTTACCATTTTTGTATTCTATATTAAATAATTGTAAATTAAATATGTAATTTATTAATTAAAAAAAAATAACATTACAAAATACTATGAATATTTTTATTAATTTTAAGATAAAGGAATTGACATGCACAATTCGTGGGTCTTTTGCTTAAATAAAGCTTAATATCATGAACAGGCCCCAAATATCCTTCTGGATCTGCTGGTATTGGTATAATAAGTGAATCCAAATTTCCTTTGATACCACTAGGATCATTTTTCTGAGAAAATTTCGTAAACTGAATTCCTCCATTGTCAAGAAAAGTGAATTGTATAATCTTCATTTGACTATGTTCACCACTACATGGAGTGAAAAGAAGACAACACCACATAAAGACCTAATTTTGGAGACTTTTAGCCGTATTAATAGACAGAGCCTCATGATTAAATATTGTCCTTAATTCATCAGGTGACAATGGATCGTGATGTTTGGTAGTCTTTCTGGATTGCTTCAAAACCTTCATTTTACCATTAAGAACTTCCCACAATAAAGGAAATTCATTTTTATTGTTAATTATGAATTTCTCACTACCACCCAGATGTTTGTAAATATAATTACTCAAACAATTATATGCGTTAACTAATGATGAAGGAGTATAATCGCTTCCATCTTGAATTTTTCGCACATCACAAAACATTCTATCATTTCTTTTTTAACCTGGTCTTTATTAGTGACCGTTTCAATATCATAACAATATCCAACATTATTTTGCCACCGATTCAAGGCTTTTACCTATTTTTTCGTAGCCTTACAAGTATTTTCAAGAATGCAAGACTCGATTATTTCATCAATTTCTGTATCGGTAGGTAAGTAATCACTACGGCCTTTAGCATATGATTTTCTTTTTTCCTAACATACCAGTTAAATTGATTTAAATTTAATAACAAGTAAAAACTTCACTTTAAATACTAAATTATAACCTACCATCCGAAAAACTTGCTACAGGTTAAAGCAGCGTTGGCAAGTGCTATGGACTTGAATCAGCATTGACAAGTACTATGGACTTGGATCAGTGTTGGCAGGTACTATGGACTTGGATCAGCATTGGCAGTACTATGGACTTGGATAAGCGTTGGCAAGTGCGTATTAATAGACTTGGAGCTTCGTTGGCGGGTACTAATGGACTTTTATCTTCGTTACAGGTACTAATTGCAAGATTCGGTAAAAGCCTTTAAAAAGGCTAGACATATAACGCTATTGCTGTATTGATTATAATATACATTACCTGAGGGCACACACTTCAGGTTTGTCATTAAGGAGGCACAGGCCTCAAAATTTAAAATATATACTCTTGGGGGCACAGCGAAAGTATTAAAAGCAGTAAAAAAAAAGATTATCAGGTGAAAATCTATTTATACCATTGTTTCAAAAAGTCCACAATTACGTATTAATTAATTTTTGAATCACTGATCGTCGTAAAAAATAAATAAATCCATTATTGCATGCTACGCAGCAATAACTGTCATATCATATGCTCAAAATCTACTGGCCCTTTCACTTGCTAGAAAAGTGTACAAGCACATGATACTTCACGTATTTTATGTTCTCTTTCTAATTGTTCAGTAACTCAGCTGTACTGGCTGGATCACTAACCAATCAGGATCGTCCATAAAATACTACAGTTATTGCATGCTTCACATGCAATAACTATTTAGTATTTGTTTTTTCTTTCTTGTAACAATCTCTACTATTTTTTGCTAAATACTTCTTTATTATTTAGTAGTATATAAACTTCTATTACTATTAACTTTATTTGTTTGAAGTATAATATAATTTTTATTATATATTTGTTATTTTTTTAACTGTATCTACATGCTTTTCCTAATGTTCTCCTAACAAAATTTTTATATCTGATTCTTTTTTCTTGTTTTCTATTGCATAGCTCCAATATTTGATATATTTTTTAATTACTTTGTATATTAAGAATTTCTCTTTTTTTCTTATAAGATTTATTTTTATAATTCTTAATATTGTAATTTTTTTTTATCTGTTTAGCTAAGTAGATTTTTAAGCTTTCAATCTTTGGTTTTTAATTCATTAATATTATAATATGCCATTTTTATTTATTTTTTTTTTTTCTATTTTTCTTTTAATTGATTTTGTTTTATTTCTATGTTTTCTATTTTTTTTCTTTTTTGCTCTTTTCTTTTTTTTAACAAAAAGATACTATTTTTTTATTAAATATTTTTCTTTCTCTTACTAAAAATTTTTTAAGTTTTTTGTTTATTCTTATTGCTTCAACCAAAGCACTTTCATAAGTAATTAGCTGGGTTTTTTCATAGCATCTCTTTTGCCTCTTTTAATTTTTTTAATCTTTTTCAGATTTGATTTAAAATGTCTTTTATATATATTTTTTACTTTTGTATCTAAGTCTTAAATTTAGTTATTTTTTATCTAAAACTTTTTTTTTTTTCTCAGTTATATTTATATGTTTTGTTTAGTTTTTTGAATTTCGGTTTTGAATATTGCTTATTTTTTCTGTTCTTTAATTTGTAGTTTTAAGACCTTTTTTTTTTTTAGCTTTGTTTATATACTGTATATTTTATTTTATTTTATTTTACTTTTGTTATCTTTATATAAGAGTTTTGACTAAATCTGTCATAACATTTTTTTCTTTTTTTTTGAGACTTCTTCTTTTTATTTATTTTTTTTTTCTGTTTATCAATATACTTAAAAATTGTTAAATAGATTTAGTTTTAATTAAGCTGTCTTTATATTTTTCTTAATTACACTTATAATTATTGCAATTCTTTTTTAGTTTTTATTTCTGTTTAGTGGAATGTAAACTGATTTTATTTTTTTACTTCTTAAACTTTGTAAAAATAAAACTTCGGAAGCATTTTCAAATAATTCTGTTAACTTTGCTATGTATTTTTTGGCTTTTTTTTGCCTTGTAGTCTTCTTTTTCTATTTTTTCTTATACTAGTTTGTTATTATTAACTAGTATAGACTATGGTGTAACTTTTTTATTTGTTTTTTTTATCTGCACTACTGTTAAGACTTTGTATTTAGATCTTTAATTTCTATTATATAGACTTTTTTAAATTTTCTGCAAATATATTCTAGCTTTTTTTTGTTTATATCTGTTAGTAAGTTCTATATTATTAGGTAGTTTTTATTTTTATATTCTTTATCTGTTTTATATTGATTTTTATACATCTTTGCTTTATTCTTTTCTTATTTTTGTTTTTTCTTTTCTATTTTTGTATATTGCTTTTTTTTTGCTGATCTTTTTTGTTAAATTTCTTATATTTTATTTTTTTTTGTTCTTTTTTTTTCTTTTGGTATTATTTTGTACTAATTGTTTTTTTTGCTAACTTTTTGTATTGCTTCTTTTTTGCTATATTCATAGTTAAAGTTTACTTCTATTTATAAATTTTCTTTCTTGAAAATTTTTTAATATTTTTATATATTTATTGTTCTTTAATAACTATCTAATAAATTTAATATACTTTTTATTTATTTCTTTTAATATGTTGTGTGCTAGTTTATTAAAAAGTAAATTGTTGCTTTGGTTGCAACTTTTTCTGCTTAGTGTCACATACTTTTCTCTAATAGTACTTTTACTATATTAATTTTTTTTTTAATTTCTTGTTTCATTCTTTTTTGTCTTTCAATTTTTTCTGTTATTAAACTATATCTTAATTCTTTTCTATTTATATCTATATTTTTTTGTTCATATTTTTCTATTATTTTTTGTTTCTGTAAAACTTGTCTTGTTTATATTTTGCTATTACTACTAAAACTTATCTTTGTTATTTTTTCTTATTAAATTGTTTTGCTATTTTTTTAGCTTTTTTTTGTATCATTTTCTATCTTCTAATTTTTTTTTTGGTACTAATTTTTGTTCAATTTTATGGATTTTCTCTGTTTTTGTTATTTGATGCTGTTCTTTTTTTAGTTTGTTTTGTAATTATACTAAACTAGGTTTTATTATTATTATATAATTGCTTTGCTTTACTATGTTTAACTTTTTTTGACTGCTTTTTCTCTGTTTTTTCTATTAGCTTTCTTGTTATTCTTAATAATACAACTTCATCTAGGTTTTGTTCTATTAGCATAATAATAATTTTGTTTTTTCTGTCAGATGTTATATATGTTTTATTTGCTTGTTTAAGAAACATACTATTGTGTATACTATTAATAGCCCAATATGCTCTTTTGATATATATTATTATTAAACTGTTAACTTGTTTTTTTGATATATTTATATTTTTTAATAAAAGTTAAACATATGTTTGTTTTGCTTATTTTTGCATATAACTAATTTATTTGTTTGTTTATGTTTTTGTAATCAAAACAAATCTGCAATATAGAGTTAGTTCTAATTTCTTTAAAAAATTTGTTTTTCAAATGTTTTTTTTTAAAATTTTTAAGGTTTTCTTGTTTTTTTCTTATTGGTTACTTGTTTTTAACTACTTTTTTCTTCTTTTATATCTTGTTTGAATGTTTTTTTTTTATTTAGGTTTTTAAAGTAGTTTAGATAACTGTTTTTGTGTAAACTTAGTTTTTGTTTTTTATTAAATTTGTATTTAGATGATCAGTAAGAAGAGTTTTTTTTTGAAAAATTGTTTACTTTTATTCTAAATTTTATTTAAAATTTTATTTTACAATATAAATAATGCTAAATATTATTATATTATTAATTTAATATAAAATTTTTAGAATTATTATTATTTTTTTTAAGTATTAAAATAAATACTTGTTATTTAGAATTTTATTAATAATATATTTAGCTAATAGTTGCATTATAACTACAAAAGACAATTATGAAAAGATTGTACAACTAGTTATTTATACAACTTTAGTTATTGTTTAATTTAAATAGTTTGTCTAAAGATTCTATATTAGCTGCTATACTTGAAACTTGCTTATAAGTTTCTTATTTAAACAATTTAGTTCTTATATCTATCTATCTGTCTATACTTATTAATAATCTTAGTTAATATTAGTAAAAATATATTATAATTACTAAGTTTTTAAAGCAATTTACTTATATAAAGAACCTTTAACTTTGTATTAAATCTTTTAGAATTTTTATATTTTATTCTTATAGCTAACATAGTAATATTATAATCAAAATTAATACTTACAGTTAGAGCATATTATTAAACTGCTATGTTCTTGTAGAGTTTATCTTAACTTTGATACTTACTTTACAACATATCTCTACTACTTTGTATTTAATTCAAGTTTTATCAAGCTTTTAGTTCAAATAGTCTAAAAAGATAGATACAACTATATCTCTAATTTATATATTCTCTAGCATATAACTTTTTTTTTTGAAACAGATCTTAGCAGTTTGGCTAGTTATAACATTTTTTTTCCAAAAACTGACTTGTTTTTATCTGGCTTTACAAGTTCTATTTTTGTTTCATAAGCCTAGTTTTTACAATAGCATTATTAAAAGTTTAGCCTATCTTTTTACTCAGGTCTTTTGAATAGACTTCTATTTTTTTAATTTTTGTAATCCATATAAATATAAAAACTTATTATAGATTCATACTGCCTAGTACTAGTTTGTATTTCTTTGTACAAAATACAACTGTTATACAAATATTATATAACCTTCTAGTTATATTAGTATAATACAGATAACAGATATCTTATTTCAACTAATAGCAAAAAACAGTTGATTATAATATAGAAAAACTTTTAAATTTTTATTAATACTAAGATTTGAATTTCAGACCTGCTACTTGGAGATTAACAATATAACTACTTTACTATATTGCTATGCTTCTATTATTAGAATTATTTAAATTATACAAAAAATACTAAAAATTTATATATAATAATAACTTGTTAAATAATTAATTTAGTAAAATTTATCAAAATTTAAAATAATTTACAAATTCTTAAATATCAGATTTGCTTATAACTTAAATTTTTTGAATGTTTAAAATATTTTAAAATATAAAAATATT